AGCCTAATATGGCAGATGAAATTAAATGAAGTACTCCAGAAACAAAGTAAGGAAAGGTGTCTAGAACTTCCCCGCCGGGCCCTACCCCCCAACCTAGAGTAGCTAGGTGTGGAAGTAAAATTAATCCTTGTTCATACATAGGCTTCTCTGGTCCGAAATGAGCTACTTCAAATAAATTCATTGCTCCAGCCCAAAATACTATTAATCCAGCATGGGCTACATGGGCCCCCAGTAGTTTACCGGATAAATTTATAAGTCGGGCATTCCCCGCCCACCAAGCGAAACCCGTGGTTTCTTGATCCCGACCAGTAAAGTCTAAAGTTCGATTAAAGAGCGTTTCCACGTGGTAGAACCTCCTCAGGGAATATAAGGTTTTCATGAGGCTGATCTTGAGCGGCCATCCAAGCACGAATACCTTCATTTAATAGAATATTTTTTGTGTAGAAAGTTTCAAATTCGGGATCTTCTGCTGCCCTAATTTCTTGAGAAACAAAATCATAGGCACGTAGGTTCAGGGCTAGGCCAACTACTCCCAGAGAACTCATCCATAAACCGGTTACGGGTACAAATAACATAAAGAAATGTAACCAACGTTTATTTGAAAAAGCAACCCCGAATATTTGGGACCAAAATCTATTAGCAGTAACCATTGAATAAGTTTCTTCAGATTGAGTTGGGTTAAAAGCGCGAAATGTATTTGCGCCATCGCCGTCTTCAAATAAAGTATTTTCCACGGTAGCACCATGAATAGCACATAGCAAGGCAGCGCCTAGTACACCGGCAACTCCCATCATATGAAAAGGGTTCAATGTCCAATTATGAAACCCTTGAAAAAACAGGATGAATCTGAATATAGCTGCTACACCAAAACTCGGTGCAAAGAACCAACCAGACTGACCTAATGGATAAATCAAGAATACAGAAACAAAAACAGCAATTGGAGCAGAAAATGCGATCGCGTTATAAGGTCGCAATTGAACGGATCGGGCAAGCTCAAATTGGCGTAACATGAAACCTATTAGTCCGAAAGCTCCGTGGAGAGCAACAAAAGTCCACAAACCTCCTAATTGACACCAACGAGTAAAATCTCCTTGCGCTTCAGGACCCCATAGTAACAACAAAGAATGGGCTAAACTATTAGCAGGAGTAGAAACTGCGGCAGTTAAGAAATTACACCCTTCTAAATAGGAACTAGCCAATCCATGGGTATACCATGAAGTTACAAAGGTTGTACCTGTGAACCAACCGCCTATAGCGAAATAGGCACAAGGAAAGAGCAATAAGCCGGACCAACCGACAAAAATGAAACGATCCCTACGTAACCAGTCATCCATATTATCAAATAAATCCTTGTCGTCTTTGGTAAATTTACCAAGAGCTATAGTCATAGTTATCCTCCTATTCAACTACGTTGACCATTTCCGAGCACCGCATAGCATTTTTGGGACATCTGAATATTTTTATCATTGCGATATGATTTATCTTGGATCGCCCCTTCCCATCGGTTTCGAAGATCCAATTTTTTTGGAAATATTTGAATGATTGGTCCATAAATGGTATAAAGAAATCCATGAACTTACTTGGATTCTTCTTTTGAGAACTTATCCTTGCATTCTGAATAGCTAATACCCATTTCATTGGATAGATCCATCCATATAAAAAAAAATGTTCTCAGACTTATTTCCTCATTTTCATTAGTATTATATAATGATAATGAAAATGAATTATTGCACTTTTATATCTTTTTCTCTCTATCTAATTTGAATATCATATATCATAATAGCGACTTTAGCCATTCTTACATGAGTCAGATCCACTTTAGTTTCCTTGGTTGTCATAAAAAAAAATAATAATATTTTAGGATTTCAGAATTGATAGCTCTTTTTTTTATTTCTTTTTAGATTTGATAACTTTAGTATAGAGTATAATATATAATTCAAATAATTAAATATAAACAAAAGTTAAACTTTTATTTCAAATCTAAAAAAATGCAATAATATTCATGATCAGGATAAGATATTATCCATTTATTTATTCTTATTACATAAAAAAAGACTTAAATGAGCCCCTTAGCGGATTTGAACCGATGACTTACGCCTTACCATGGTGTTACTCTACCACTGAGTTAAAGGGGCGTATTCCATTGAATTCCTAATATATTAAGAAAATCCAGAAAATAGACATCTATAAAAGATATATAGCTAGTCTATTGATATGAAATTTCATATTATGAATTTCAATAATAATGTAGATTCGGATAGATATGAATATTTCATATTATAAGAATCTTAATTGAATTACATGGAATAAAGAAAGACATCGGAGCCTACATTTTGAAATAGAACTACTTATTGGGCGGAGTAGATTTTAAAAATTGATCCAAAAATAGGAAAATACTAGATTTCTAATCGGGGTTCTAATCAAAGATTGCTTAATGGGAAATCAAAAAATTGAAAAACATAAATGATTAGAAAGGCAAAGGTCCGTTAGAATATTTAAATATTTTACATCTATTGACAATTTAAAAAAAAAGGTTCCTGCTATCACATCATAGTATGAGGTTGGTTGAACAAGTGGGCCCCCATCGTCTAGTGGTTTAGGACATCTCTCTTTCAAGGAGGCAGCGGGGATTCGAATTCCCCTGGGGGTAGGGTACTTTGAAAGGAAGCTTCTAATGGATTCATTACAAAGTTGAGTAGTAATTTGGTTTTTCCTGGGTCGATGCCCGAGTGGTTAATGGGGACGGACTGTAAATTCGTTGGCAATATGTCTACGCTGGTTCAAATCCAGCTCGGCCCAATCATTCGCAAATCCCAATAAGAAAAAAGAACCTGGACTTGAAAAATATCTCAGAACTATACTGATAGATAGGTCAAAAAATAAAAATTTTGACTGGATTCCTTATTTGACGGGGATTGTAGTTCAATTGGTCAGAGCACCGCCCTGTCAAGGCGGAAGCTGCGGGTTCGAGCCCCGTCAGTCCCGATGGATCCAAAGAATAAATCAATAAGGTGACTGTTTCTCATTTTTATCTTGAAGTTTTATATGGGATTAAATCCCAAGTTATTGCGAAGTAAAAAAACAACGAGATTATGGAAGTCAATATTCTTGCATTTATTGCTACGGCCTTATTGATTTTAGTTCCTACCGCCCTTCTACTTATCATTTACGTAAAAACTGTCAATAGAAATAATTAATTAGTATTTAATCTATCTTAAAATAAACTTGTCTTCTGGGTTAGATCATTATATTATTAGATAATCTTATCAGAATAAATTCAAAAATAAAAATTCTATTACAAATTTTTGAAGGTTTTAATTTTAATAAAAAGAACTGGCTCAAATCAGCACTAAAGCAGGAGACTCATAGAATAGACTAATAGTAATAGATAATATGTTAAGAAAGTACAAAATAAAGGAAGTATGCTAAATTAATCAATAGATGACTCCTTTTTTTTTAACCTAAACTATCTATTAACTATTAGCGTTCTTTTTGCTTGAATAATATGTTTTATTGAAAGATTGAAAGAGCAGAATGGATTATTCACATGTTCTGAAACATTTTATAAAAAAATGAATACATTTTTATTTACGCAACATTCATTTAGTAGAACCTCTATAGTCCACTCCTTCCCCATATTACTAGTGAAAGAGAAAAGGTAAAAACTACCATTAAAGCAGCCCAAGCAAGACTTATTATATCGATATTCATTATGTCCTCTATCATTATAACTAGTTGATTTTTACTAAGTTCCTCATCAATTATAAGAAATTCATAAGAATAGCGGAATCCCCCGCGCAGAGTACACATAAAAAAGGAAAAAAGGGATTATGATTATGGAAGATGACCCAAAAAGAAAATGCAAAATATGCGAAACTGCAAAAGGATCTGGCCTTATTTTCCTCATTTAAGAAAAATAGCAATCCATATACAAATATAAAAATCGCTAATTCTCATTCCGATCTAATCTGGCATCCTCCATATGATTATATAGGAGCTAGGAAACGACGGGATAGAGGTTATTCTGTTTACGATCAAAAAGGGTTTGAACATAATAATTCAAACAAGTAGTATGCGGAATTGTCCTTTTCCTTTATAGGAATCCTATGAACAACAAGATATTTCAAATTCTTTATAATCAGGCGACACCCGGATTTGAACTGGGGGAAAAAAGGATTTGCAGTCCCTCGCCTTACCACTCGGCCATGTCGCCAAAAGGATACAAAAACTTTGGGAACGACTTTTTTGATTGTACTTGTTTCTTTCTTTTCTCCTAAAAAAATACTGTGAGTTTATTCCACTTTATTTTTTTTTTTATTTTATTTGAGCCATCTAACTACAAATATAAAAAATATAAAAAAGTGTCTTTTAGTTGAATCAAAATCTTTTTTCTAAGATACTATAAAAAAGATTTTCAAATTATTTTTTTTTATTATCTATGAAATTCTTAGAAATTCCTAAATCTTTTTTATAGTTCAGATATGGAGTTCGATACAATTTCATGTGATTCAGTAAAAACAATAGAAATTTCCTCATTAAGAAATCATCTATTTTCTTAGCTATTAGATGAAGGATTCATAAAGTTTCATAAAATCAATATAAATAATAATAAAGAAAATAAAAAGGAATTAAAAAAAAAATGCTTGTAGATGTAAAAAAGGGCGGAGTTACTACAATCCCTGGATTGAATCAGATACAATTTGAAGGATTTTCTAGGTTTATTGATCAAGGTTTAATGGAAGAACTTTCTAAGTTTCAAAAAATTGAAGATCTAGATCACGAAATCCAGTTTCATTTATTTGTGGAAACATCTCAATTGGTAGAACCGTTGATCAAGGAAAGAGATGCTGTGTATGACTCACTAACATATTCTTCTGAATTCTATGTATTGGCAGGATTAATTTGGAGAGCAAGTAAGGATCGATCTACACGTATGCAAGAACAAATCATTTTTCTTGGCAGCATTCCTCTAATGAATTCCCTGGGAAGTTTTATAGTAAATGGAATCTATAGAATTGTGATCAATCAAATACTACAAAGCCCTGGCATTTATTATCGGTCAGAATTGGACCATAACGGAATTTTGGTTTACACCGGCACAATAATATCAGATTGGGGAGGAAGATTAGAATTAGAAATTGATAGAAAAGCAAGAATATGGGCTCGTGTGAGTAGGAAAAAAAAAATATCGATTTTAGTGCTATCATCAGCTATGGGATTAGATCTAAGAGAAGTTATAGATAATGCCTGTTATCCTGAAATTTTTTTATCTTTTCTGAGTGATAAGGATACAAAAAAAATTGGTTCAAAAGAAAACGCGATTTTGGAGTTTTATAAAAAAATTCGCTTGCGTAGGCGGTGATCCGTTAGGGTATGAATACTTATGTAAGGAATTACAAAAAAAAATTTTTTCACCAAAGATGTGAATTAGGACGGCTTGGTCGACGAAATATGAACCGAAGACTTAATCTTGATATACCCCAGAATAATACTTTTTTGGTACCACGAGATATATTAGCAGCCGCCGATCATTTGATTGGACTCAAATTTGGAATGGGTACACTTGATGATATGAATCATTTGCAAAATAAACGTATTCGGTCTGTAGCGGATCTTTTACAAGATCAATTCGGATTAGCTCTCGTTCGTTTCGAAAATGTCGTTAAAACCACTATATGTGAAGCAATTCGTCATAAATTAATACCCACTCCTCAGAATTTGGTAACTTCAACTCCCTTAACAACTACGTATGAATCTTTTTTCGGGTTACACCCATTATCTCAAGTTTTAGATCAAACCAATCCATTGACACAAATAGTTCATGCAAGAAAATTTAGTTATTTAGGACCTGGAGGGCTGACAGGACGCACTGCTAGTTTTCGGATCCGAGATATTCACCCTAGCCACTATGGGCGTATTTGCCCTATTGACACATCAGAAGGAAGCAATGTTGGGCTTATTGGATCCTTAGCAATTCATGCGAGGATTGGACGTTGGGGATCTCTAGAAAGTCCACTTTTTGAAATTTCTGAGCGATCAACAAGGGTACGGATGGTTTACTTATCACCGGGTAGAGATGAATACTATATGGTAACGACAGGAAATTCTTTGGCCTTGAATCAGAATATTCAAGAAGATCAGGTTGTTCCAGCTAGATACTGTCAAGAATTCCTTACTATTGCATGGGAGCAAGTTCATCTTCGAAGTATTTTTTCCTTCCAATATTTTTCTATTGGAGCTTCCCTCATTCCTTTTATCGAACATAATGATGCGAATCGAGCCTTAATGAGTTCTAATATGCAACGGCAAGCAGTTCCCCTTGCTCGATCCGAGAAATGCATTGTTGGAACAGGGATAGAACACCACGCAGCTCTCGATTCAGGGTCTCTTGTTCTAGCCGCCCACATGGGAAAGGTTGTTTATACAGATACTGACAATATATTTGTATCGGTCTCTGGCCTTGGAAAGATTCTAAGCATTCCATTAGTTGTGTATCAACGTTCAAACAAAAATACGTGTATGCATCAAAAACCTCAGGTTGAACCGGGGCAATTTATTAAAAAGGGACAAGTTTTAGCGGAAGGTGCTGCTACGGTTGAAGGCGAACTTGCTCTCGGAAAAACTTTATTGGTAGCTTATATGCCGTGGGAGGGTTATAATTTTGAGGATGCAGTCCTCATTAGCGAACGCTTGGTATATGAAGAGATTTATACTTCTTTGCACATAAGGAAATTTGAAATTAAAACTAATGTGACAAGCCAAGGCCCTGAACAAGTCACTAAAGAGATACCTCATTTAGAAGCCCATTTAATTCGCAATTTAGATATAAATGGAATTATAATGCAGGGATCTTGGGTACAGCCAGGGGATGTTTTAGTAGGTAAATTAACACCTCACGTGGTGAAAGAATCGTCGTATGCACCGGAAGATAGATTATTACGAGCCATACTTGGTATTCAGGTATCTACGTCAAAAGAAACTTGTCTCAAAGTCCCTATAGGTGGGATGGGTCGGGTTATTGATGTAAGGTGGATACAGAAGAAAGGGCTTTACAATTCTAATCTGGAAAAGATTCAGGTATATGTTTTACAGAAACGTGAAATAAAAGTGGGCGATAAAGTAGCTGGAAGGCACGGAAATAAAGGTATCATTTCAAAAATTTTGCCTAAACAAGATATGCCCTATTTACAAGATGGAAGAGCGATTGATCTGGTATTTAACCCATTAGGAGTACCTTCAAGAATGAATGTAGGACAGATTTTTGAATGTTCACTGGGGCTAGCAGGGAGTTTGCTAGATAGACATTATAGAATCGCACCTTTTGATGAGAGATACGAACAAGAAGCTTCGAGAAAAATAGTATTTTCTCAATTACATGAAGCCAGTAAAAAAACAGCGCATCCATGGGCATTTGAACCCGAATACCCAGGAAAAAGTAGAATATTTGATGGAAGAACGGGTAATACTTTTGAACAACCTATCCTAATAGGTAACGCTTATATCTTGAAATTACTTCATCAAGTTGATGATAAACTGCATGGGCGTTCCAGTGGACATTATGCGCTTGTTACACAACAACCCCTTAGAGGAAGAGCGAAACAGGGGGGGCAACGGGTAGGGGAAATGGAGGTTTGGGCTCTCGAAGGATTTGGGGTTGCTCATATTTTACAAGAAATGCTTACTTATAAATCGGATCATATTAGAGCTCGTCAGCAAGTACTTGGTACTACGATTCTTGGAGGTACAATATCTCATACAAAAAATGCTCCAGAATCTTTTAGATTGCTCGTTCGAGAACTACGATCTTTAGCTCTGGAACTGAATTATATCCTGGTATCTGAAAAGAACTTCCAGATTCATAGGAAGGAAGCTTAATCTAATCCGAACTAATAAAAATTTTTATTTTATGATTGATCGATATAAACATCAACAGCTGCGAGTTGGATTGGTTTCTCCTCAACAAATAAGTGCTTGGGCCAGTAAACTTTTGCCAAATGGTGAAATAGTTGGCGAGGTAACAAAACCTTATACTTTTCTTTATAAAACAAATAAACCAGAAAAAGATGGATTATTTTGTGAAAGAATATTTGGGCCTATCAAAAGTGGAATTTGCGCGTGTGGAAATTATCGAGTTATCGGAGATAAAAAAGATAAACCCAAATTTTGTGAACAATGCGGAGTTGAATTTGTGGATTCTCGGATCCGAAGGTATCAAATGGGCTATATCAAACTAGCCTGCCCAGTAACTCATGTGTGGTATTTAAAACGTCTTCCTAGTTATATTGCGAATATTTTAGATAAACCTCTTCAAGAGTTAGAGGGCTTAGTATATGGCGATGTGTGATTTGATCGAAATTTTGATTTTACAGATTCAGAACAAGAAACTGTTATCCCAGTTAATCCAATTGGGATGCCCTAGACCTGACATGTGAATTGGAAAGCAAAACATGAAGCTCAGAATTGGGATGTAGTAATTACACTTCCACAAAAAAAAAGGGAGTTGATCTATGGTTGATTTCATTCCAAATCAAATAAATAGGATTTTTTCTTTGTACCTCGTAAAAAAAAAGAAACTTTTTTGTTTTGTTGAATGAACCTTAAAATTTCCTATTTCCTCTCATTTGGAAATTCAAGTAAGCAAATTAGGGCATGGTTATAGGAGTTTATTGATCGCATATAGGCTTTAGTAAAAAGGGCTTAGCGTCCGCCTAACCATCGAGATATATATAGTGGGGCCTAAAAGATCAAATGGAACAATCTAGAGACAAGTAAATCCCTTATTAATTCTAAATTACTACTTTACTAATATGGCGTTTCCTTATTAATACGTAGTGGATTCATTGTTCGAGGGGAAGGAGACTACTCAAAAATTTTACATTTCATTTATGTTGTAATTGAACTTAAAGAATTCCCAAATTAGAATAAGACTCAATTCAATATAAATCAAAAATGAAATAGTACGGGTTATATATTGCTTTGCCATCAATGGAAACTTGAGTAAGGAGTAGAACTTTTTATCTTTTGAATTTGGGGTTGTCAATAATTTGAAACGAAGAGATACTTGTGTTTCTTTTCTTCTTTATTGTTTACTTCATGTACCTACTTGAGCCGGATGAAAGAAAACATTCACGTCCGATTTTGAGGGGGGGAACTCTTATAAAATCCTATCCCAATTTTTCTTTTGCTAGGCCCATAACTAAAAAACCCACTTTCTTACGATTACGGGGTTTATTCAAAGATGAAATCCAATCGTGGAAATATAGCATTCGACTTTTTTTCAATACTCAAGGTTTCAATACATTTCGAAATCGAGAAATTTCTATGGGGGCCTGTGCTATCCGAGAACAATTAGCCGATATAGATTTGCGAATGATTGCAGAAAATTCATTACTAGAATGGAAAGATTTGGGGGAAGAAAAGCGCACAGGGAATGAATGGGAAGATCGAAAAGCTACAAGACGAAAGGATTTTTTGGTTAGACGGATAGACTTAGCTAAACATTTTATTCGAACAAATATAGAACCAGAATGGATGGTTTTATGTCTATTACCAGTAATTCCTCCTGAGTTGAGACCTATTATTCAGATCGATGGGGGGAAACTTATGAGTTCAGATATTAATGAACTCTATCGAAGAATTATCTATAGGAATAATACACTTACCAATCTATTAAAAACAAGTAAATCTACGCCAGATGAATTAATAATATGCCAGGAGAAATTAGTACAAGAGGCTGTGGATACACTTCTTGATAATGGAATCCGCGGGCAACCAATGAGGGATGGGCACAATAAAGTCTACAAATCAATTTCGGATATAATTGAAGGCAAAGAGGGAAGATTCCGTGAAACTCTGCTTGGTAAACGAGTTGATTATTCAGGACGTTCTGTTATTGTCGTTGGCCCCTCGCTTTCATTACATCAATGTGGCTTGCCGCGTGAAATAGCAATCGAACTTTTCCAGCCTTTTGTCATTCGCGATCTAATAAGAAAACATCTTGCCTCGAATATAGGGGTTGCAAAAAGGCAAATTCGACAAAAAGAATCACTTGTATGGGAAATACTTCAAGAAGTTGTGCAAGGGCATCCTGTATTGCTGAATAGAGCGCCCACTCTCCATAGATTAGGCATACAGGCATTTCAGCCCATTTTAGTGGAGGGGCGTGCTATTTTTTTACACCCCTTAGTTTGTAAGGGGTTCAATGCAGATTTTGATGGAGATCAAATGGCTGTTCATGTACCTTTATCATTGGAGGCTCAAGCCGAAGCCCGTTTACTTATGTTTTCTCATATGAATCTTTTATCTCCGGCTATTGGGGATCCCATTTCCGTACCAACTCAAGATATGGTTATTGGACTTTATGTATTAACGAATGAGAATCGTCGAGGTATTTGTCTTAATAGGGCAACTAAATGTAATACACGAAATCAAAGCAGTGACAATCGTAATTATAAGTATAAAAATGAACCCTTTTTTTGTAATTCCTATGATGCAATTAGAACTTATCGGAAGAAACAAATAAATTTAGATAGTCCTTTGTGGCTCCGATGGAGACTCGATCAACGCGCCATTACTTCAAGAGAAACTTTAATAGAAATTCATTACGAATCTCGAGGGACTTATTATGAGATTTATGGACACTATCTAATAGTCCGAAGTATAAGAAAAGAAACTCCTTTTTTATATATTCGAACCACTGTTGGACATATTTCTCTTTATCGTGAAATTGAAGAAGCTATCCAAGGATTTTCTAGGGTCTGGTCGAGACCTAACAGAATTTGATGATATAAATACCAAC